TTACCTATTTTAGTAACTTCGAGGGGTCATACTAGATTCACTGAAACAGTGGCACTTGTGTTGTCTATTGACTTCGATAGCTCCGTAACATCAGGGTTGCGAGCCCATCTGCCAATGCAATAAAAAATCCTGCACCTTCAAAATTGGTAATAACTGTTTCATCGGTGTTTTGTCAATTAATACAATAATTGAACAGGGCCCAAGATAAAATCAAAATCACATTCATAATTCTCCTTTGATTGACGGCTACTGCACTATAATAGTAAATCCTTCGATATCTACTGCCTTTATAGATTTACAAGTTTTAGATTTAGAAAGTACACCGAACAATTATATTAATGTTTCATTGGTGGAAACGCAGCTTAACACTATAGTAATAATGGGCTTGAACTTTTGACCTTGCTAGGCTGACAGCGTAGCCCAGAAAATTTATTCATATTCATGCTTTTATTTACCGCAGTACCAAAATGCGCATTGGTTTTCTTGTCTGTTTTCACTAGTTTGTAACAAAATTAATAAAATAGGCATATGAATTGGTGGGAGTCTATTGTTGAGTCCACGGTACCAGGCTACCACCGTTCCACCTAGTTCCAGCGCGATGCAGCCCTGCATTACGATTTGTACGCTGGGGCTTTAACCTCGCGTCTTAACTTTAGTGAATTCACTATATGATCTATGGCCTCCAGTAACCCCTTAACACCAGATGAAACCCGAAAAAATCGGAAATTATAACAATCGAGGTAATTCCTTATAACTACAGAATCTTTTATTGAAAAATTTTTAAAGAATTACTATTTTTATTTTATATCTCAGATTCAACTGAGAAGTGGGCGCTAAATCACTTCGATATAATTAAAAACAGAGCAATCCCTCAACGTTTGTTTACAGTTTTGGGGTTTGGCCTCAATCATTTTAAGTAATAATTTACGACCACGGGCGTGGTCGAATAACTAACTGGAAATTAACCTTGGTGTCTACTGCCTTATCGATTTCCGTATAGAATAAAGACTTGGCGCATTGGACGATTTCGCGTCTATGTAAATCTTATACGACCTCTGTACGTCTATTAAAATGCAAACGATAGTTTTGTACACTTGAATGAAATGTATTATACTTTATTCCGATGATTGAACTTTATTTAAATGTCTAAGTAAAAAATTTCGATGTATGACTGGGTTCACTTGTAATCTATATTAAAATCAAGTTACATTTCCGTTTAATAGCTGATAAAATAAATTACAGGTTTTCTATGACAAGTTACGAATTACGAACTCCCGTCATTGCTTATGTCTAGTTACTGATAAACCACCATGGCCGGCTTCCTTTTCAAACTTGTGATACCACTTAGCACTATCGAGGGGAATACGCTTCAGAGCCTAATGTTTGATAGCATAAAACTATTTCTACAAACGAACTGGGGATCAATACAGTAATACCAAATAATACGGATGAACTGACAGCTGATGGCGGAGTAGAAATAGATGAGGCATCATTTCAAACTAATTCTCACGAATGTAATCAATTTAAAAAAAAAAACGAATAATATTAAAAAACGCGAGGTCGTACACTCTGAATAAGCTGATAAAAATTGAAGAATTTGATTTAATTTTATTTTGTTTTAATTTTTAGATTACTGTGATACTGTTATTAGTTACTAAGATAAAATATTAACTGTAGAGTACATGTATGTATTTTGTAAGATAGCGCGTCACAGACTTTACATTGGCTTGTCACTTTGTATATTTTACCCGTTTTTTGTTAGCTTTTGTTTGTTCAATGTTGAATCGTACAGTTTTCGTATAAGGTTTGTATTTGGAAACTTCAGTTTTCTTTTGTTCGTTGTAGAAAGTGCATGGCAGTATGTAATCATGACATGCATTCTAATGTTTTTGTTGTTGAACCGGAGGACACTACTTTACTAATCGTAAACAAAGGAATTTAAATACGTTTAGATTTTCATTCAAAACGTAAAGCTTACTGGTAATCCGTGTCCGTATTGTTACGTCTAAATTCGTGGTAACATCGCTGAACGCCTTATTTTGTAGCAGAAAAGAAAGTTGAAGTGTAAAATCAAAATCGTTTTAAAAAATACGTCACATTAAATTTTTGTTTCAAAATTTCTGCTTGTTACAATAGGTACCTAAATATTGACACAAAAGGTTATCAGAGTCAGTACTGACTACTGACCAATATACGCCCAATCCCAGAAACTGTAAGAGGCCCAAATACGATAAAGGTTAAAAATAAATATTACCTATTATTTTAAGTTGTTAATTTCAAACTAATTTTCGAATATAATTTTATTGTCTTGGATGGACAGACGAGCTCAGAACCAAGTGAGTGATGCTGAGTAATAATCGAATTTCATAGAAACTAGCTACGAACTAAATGCCACAACACAATTTGTGACATGAGGCCAACTCTATTATATTATGTTATATTATATTATATAAATACTGTCCCGTCTATTAAATGAATGCCATAACTTATTAAATCAGGCCTCGAACAGTTTAATACAGATATAAGAGAAGATATATAGAGAACAAGATATAGTACAGAACAGTACAGACTGTTCGAAATGCAAAATTCTTTCAACTGCTTTTGAACTCTCCAACTGCGTAATTTTTGAAGTTTAATAGTTTACTTTATAAGGCGTCGAATCAGGGTGTGAGACGTAATAGAGTTAAGGTCTACAATCAAGTAAACTAAAGTTTGCGCAACATCAAATATCCTCACAAGAATTATAAATAGGAATACAAATATATCTATCGATTACGTTTTCATGCCCGAACTACTGAACTCGATATTGACGAAATACGGTATGGAAATAGTTTGAACCCTGGGACTTAATATAGACTACCTTCATCCCACCTTCGAGTACGGGTATCCACCCACACGGTATATAATGTTTTCCACGCAGAGGAAACTGCGAGTGGAAAGCTGAACCTTGGTATTTTTCGTCATTTTTCTGACTTAATTCGAATCGATATATATAAAAATTAATTGCTGTTCGTTAGTCTCGCTAAAACTCGAGAACGGCTGAACAGATTTGGCTAATTTTGGTCTTGAACTATTTGTGCAAGTCTAGAGAAGGTTTAAAAAGTAGATACATATGAAAATGGTCGGAATTAAATAAAAATAACCATTTTGTTTTTCCTTTGATACGTCCCCCGTCGGACGGATTCCTTTTGTTTGATTTAAGTTTATTTTATACAAAAGTTTAGGTCTTTTGTTTATCGATTGAGGCACTACGAAGTCTGCCGAATCAGCTAGTAATAAAAATAAATAATCACTTAGCAAATCGCGTAACAGAGATGATTTAGCATCTGATACGAGAGAACGTGTATGAACATGACCCACGCGGCTACCGGTCGATCACCTCTGTCAACACGCACATCTATTCTTTCATAGATGCAGAAGTATTTTCAAATTATCCACATCAACACCAGTACATTTAGTACTTCTGGAAACATCCTTATAATACCAAAACGCGCTTGACTATTTAACACTCAAAGATAAATAAAAATCAACAAATATAACAGAGTACCGAACCATAGTCGCAATTTTTTTAATTCGACTTCTGTGCGTCCTAAAAGCATTTTCGTTGTAATTATGAAAAACGTTTCGATGAATTAATTGCAAATTCCCATATGAAACTTTTGAAACAAACTCACGGACCGGACGAAACCAACTGGAAAGCTTATAAATATACCAACTTAATACCACAGACCATCCTCGTATTATGGTATATTTTGTAGGTCTGGCGAATATTGTAAATAAATAATTGTTCCAAGAGCTTTGGTGATACTAATAAAATAAGGAAGCGAGATAAGCTGACTTCTATTATAATGATACAGGGTTACATTATGAAAATAATGAGATAAAATTACGAAGCGTGACGTCGCCGCTAATGTTTACATTAATACGGTTTTGTTTGTCGAGCAACGATAAATTTGAGGCACGCTACGGGTATGTGAGTATGTGACACATTGTATTCTAAATCGGGATTTTTTTCTTGTTGATAAAAAAAATTAAGTACTCTGTATTTTCAGTACAAGTAAATTATGTATGTATGTATATACTATTATGCAAATCAACTAATTTAAATACTTGTTAAATATGTATAGAAGTACATTTCGAACATCGATTGAATAACGTATTTAAAAAAATAATAATCCACAAACTGATTTAAAGACTCTTTTTTATATTTAATCTCGGACTTATTTCATTTTATTAATTTCATAATCCAACACTTCATAAATAACTTGAAGTTTTTTAGCCCTTGATACTCGTATAAAATAAATAAGGTAATGTTTAAAAAATTGGCAAAAAAAGAAATTTTGAAACACGTGTAGAACAAAAACATATATTACGACCTACGTCCCTTCTTTGCATACAGAAGAATGGAAGATACTCTCTTGAGGCATAGTTAATAGCTTTCATCTTAACAACAAGGAAATTGAAGTTATCAGACAAGCTCCAAATCTATATAAATATTTATTTGATAGCTAGAGGTATTATGTGCTGAATAAATTTGTTTTTGTTTATATGTTATTAACCGACAGTAATTCTATAATTGTTTATGGGTGATCTTTCGCCGCATTTATAGAATTTATTTAATTTCAGGTATATTTACAGTACGCACAAGAATACCTATCATTTATAAAGAAAATACGTTTTATTAGATCAATCGTATCAAAGAGTAGGTCAATAAATTTATAGGCTATTTTGGATAACGGGCATTGACTAGACTAGAAAGTTGAATAGCTGACTGATGACGAGATGTGCTTGTGGGCCATTTATAACGTGGTGTGAAATATCGTAGGTTCGAAACTGGGTAGGAACCATGAATTTTTTTCTATTTTTTTAATAATCACTGTATCCGTCAACGCTCCAACCAACCAGGCACCCTAATTATCGTTAATAAAATACAAATATAACGATATTAAGGAATATGTTTCGTAGTATTTGTGTAACATAATTTCGTTTTTTTTTTACAGGCTTGGAATGAGAACTGACGATTTACCGACTCATTGAAGACAAAGCTGTGATAAAGGTAAGCCTTTCGCTTTTGTAGATACACAAAAAGCACTTTATCCCTGTTCTATGTTTACCATCGTAAAGCATTGCATCAACGTCTGGAGTGGTGAGCAAACAAGATGAGCACTCGAAGGCTTGATGGCGTCTGCTCCTCACAGGTTGTTAGACTCTACTGTTCGATCTCAATACTCCAACTTGGGAAGCACCCACTTAATTTTTTAAGACTACTTTAAAATGATTCTTGTTTTTTTTTTTGCTTCGATGGGTGGACGAGCTCACAGCCCACCTGGTGTTAAGTGGTTACTGGAGCCCATAGACATCTACAACGTAAATGCGCCACCCACCTTGAGACATAAGTTCGAAGGTCTCAAGTATAGTTACAACGGCTGCCCCACCCTTCAAACCGAAACGCATTACTGCTTCACGGCAGAAATAAGCAGGGCGGTGGTACCTACCCGAGCGGACTCGCAAGCAAAAAACCAGTAAAAAATGTCCGATGTAAATATGTTTTTTTTTTTGTTGTTGTGAAAATAATAGAACTACGCTATCACTTGTCACATTGTATGTACCTCTTGTATACATTTGTCGATAAAACATAGTCTACAAAGTGAGTCATCGTTTAGTATATAGCTTGTCGAAACAAAACCGGTCCTCGGCTCGAACGTTCATTGCCACTGCGCTGCGGGCATTGCAGTTAGTTTCATCTGTCATTAAAGGACCAAGTCGTGTCATTTCTGTACATAAAACGAATTTATATTTAGTACATCGTTTCCTTTGAATTATGAACTTTATCCTCGTAAATATTAAATGGTGTACATGTAACTGTAATTGAAATTATAATGTTACAATATTTAAATGTAATTAATTATTGGTTGTTGTACGCGTGAACACGTCATTTATCGGATCGAATTTGTAGCTGGTGACTATCGTAGAACAAAAGATATGTGACAAATGCCTGAATCGCGCTGACGACATTTTCAAGATAACAATAACGTTCGGACCCGCGGTCTACTGAGCAAATTCAACCGCTCGGTGATTGATTTGATACTGTTGTCGTTTCCTCCATAGTACCACGAACGTGCGATAACACAATTTCATATAAGTCGTCGTGCCTAAAGGATAAGATGTCTGGTCCATTCGTGTATCTAACGATGCACCGGTGTTCGAATACCGCAGACAAGTACCAATTTTTCTAATGAAATATGTACGTACTTAACAAATGTTCACGATTTACTTCCACGTGATAGGACCTCTAGTGAGTCCGCACGGGTAGGTACCACAACCCTGCCGTGAAGCAGTAATGCGTTTCAGTTTGAAGGCTGGGGCAGCCGTTGTAACTATATTTGAAACCTTAGAACTAATATCTCAAGGTGAGTGGCGCATTTACGTTGTGGATGTCTATGGGCTCCAGTAACCGCTTAACAGCAGAGGGGCCCTAAATTCGTCCACCCAGCAAAGCAAAAAAAAATATTGCTTCAATAAGCGAGTACTCTTAATATATTTGACGACGGTTATAGACAATCCTTCCCTGTCCCGGATAGCTTCTGGGGAAACTGGTAATGCCGGTGGGCCAAGCGGGGGTCCCTAGAAACAGAAAAAAAACCTCAACCAACCGAACACCATAATTAAGTTTGCTAACGAAGTCTGATCAGGAAACCAGTGACATTTAAATAAAATATCGCCCACCCGAATATCTGACCTCGAAGCCTTTCCCTCGGACGCTGTCGGAGGCCGACACGCATCGAACGCGGATCTAACACTAATGGTAGAGTATAATAATGGACAGCGCCTGTAGAATTACTAACAAACGTAGTGTGACTGATGCTTTCGATGATATTGATAACATTCACATGATGTTCAATGCTGGAGAGAAACATTTTTATTTTTTTATTGCTTAGATTGTTGGACGAGCTCACAGCCGCCCTGGTGTTAAGTGGTTACTGGAGCCCATGGACATCTACAACGTAAATGCGCCACCCACCTTGAGATAAGTTCTAAGGTCTCAAATATAGTTACAACGGCTGAGCCTTCAAACTGAAACGCATTACTGCTTCACGGCAGGGTTGTGGTACCTACCCGTGCGGACTCACCAGAGGTCCTACCACGTGCAAGTAAATCGTGAACATTTGTTAAGTACGTACATATTTCTTTAGAAAAATTGGTACTTGTCTGCGGTATTCGAACACCAGTGCATCGCTAGATACACGAATGGACCAGACATCTTATCCTTTAGGCCACGACGACTTATATGAAATTATGTTATCGCACGTGTATAGTTATGTTTGTCTATGTTACAGTACAAACCCTGAATTCTACATTGTCGGCTAAATAAACAAACCATCAATCAGCTCTACGAAAATAGATATACTAGAAAACGAAATGAAATACTAATAAAAAACCTTACAAATCTAATGGAAGTAGGGTACTGTTGAAGTCAATGAACTATTGATCACGTAAATGGGAAATTTATATAAAATATATATTCTCGTTTTATCACTTTAGTAAGCCTGCCCGAGACATATTGACTTATTTGTCGGTGGTTTTTTTTCTCTCATAAATAAAAAATGAAACAGTACTGCAATAACAATAAAATTACTATTCAGTACATTGCAAATAACGACTCTACTCAACAAATGAATTGCGATTATAATACTCGTATAATAATATTATGAGTCTCGATACAAACTAGAAATCATTCAACTAATATAATTTTAATTATGTTATTATGAAAATCACAAAACAACTTTTATTGTAACCATACGAAATTATTAAGTATATAACAATATGTTAAATTAGACCATAATACGTTTAGGAATAGTACGTTTATTTACATAATTTTGTTCGCTTATAATAATATGTCGGTACATAGATCTTAATGCTCTTAATATGCTATAAATTAAAATAATTATGTACTACAATCCATTAATTGTAACTCGCTTCTTAAGAAAATAATAAAATGAAATAATACACGTGAATAATAAACAGATCTCTTTCAAAATTCAATCTAAGGCAAAGATTAATCACTGATTAGGTATGTAGATACCTAGATTATATTTTAATAAACATTAGTGTTGGAAGGCGCGTCCAGGTCGAAACGTTATTTAGGAAATAGTTAATACTGTGCACTCAAGGCCTTAACATCGTTGAACTGTGGCTGTGGTATCATTTTCCGGTTTTTAACTAAATAAATAAATAATAAACATAATAAAATAAGATAATCTATAATAGATATATTATATATCGCTTCCGCTATGAAAAACAACCGTTTAAATGTAATTTAAAGTGGGAATTACTCTAGCGTTTATTTTTATTTTTTTCAATGTTTTCAGCGCTTTACTTGTTTGACTACATACAACCGCGTTTACCTCTTTTTACATTTTTGTAATGATAAACACCAGCTTGGCTGTGCCCCTACCATTGCTAACGTCCATGGACGACGGTAACCACTCACCATAAGGTAGACTGTATGCTCGTCTGCCTATAAGGGCAATAAAAAAAACTTTTGTGAACTGGCTGCGTCCATGGACGACGGTAACCACTCACCATAAGGTAGGCCGTATGCTCGTCTGCCTATAAGGACAATAAAAAAAACTTTTGTGAACTCGCTACGTAATACTCGCGCTTCGTTTAGACTATCAGTGAACAGTTCGCCGAATAATTAGTAAACGTATACAACTTTTGTTGCCTACCTATTCTAGTAACTTCGAGGGGTTATTCTAGAATCGCCGAGCTTGTAGGTGAGCTCACGGGGCAAGCCTAGCAAGAGCCGTGCTCCGCAGTATCTAGCACCGGATCGGAAAGGCGACCCACTGAGAAGATCCGACGAGAAACTCAGTGGGCTGTGTCGGTTGGTTAATTTACTCGCCGAGCCCTTCGTCGCAAGCGACGGGTTTGACGAGAACGATGACCGGTGCTTGAGGTACCTAAAAGCACCGTTAGTAGATCAAGAAGATCTGAAATGACGTGTTTTGGGCGACGTCGACTGCTTTCCATTCGGTCCGCAGGATCGGCAATGTAGTTACCGGCGGCCACGATGAGAGGGTTCTCGTGTCGTGCCGCTTTCTCGAAATGGCGCACTGATGCCGACTGTAAATACTTACTGATGGAATCTAGGTCCAGGTCGTCATGCAAATCGATGTTCCTGACGAACCACGGGGCTCCGACGGCTAACGGGATTGAATTATTTGAAGGACTTTTAAGTTAGTGCGGGCCGCGTGAGCAAATACTACACTTGCATAGGTCCGTATAGAACCAAATAAAAACCCATCTATATGGCCATCAACGCAAAAATGGCCTAAACCATAATTTTTCATATTCGTGCTTTTATATTGCAATATGTTTAAAACAATAAATTTTGATGTGAAACTGGCCTATTCCTAGTTTCACCCATAGATAACAGATGGCTTTGTAAAAACTGATTTTTGCGCGTACTGTTTATGTCAACGGAGCAGTGTAAAAATAAATTCAAACCTCATTATATCCATACTAACTATAATAAACTTAGGCCACTTTTCCGCTGACGGCCTCATATTATATTCATGTATTATTCAGCCAAGTTATCTTACAACATATGAAAGACGTGCGACACGTTGGTACTCATTGTTCATACAATGTATCTCGTCGTACAATAGAAAAGAGAAAATAAGACTACTGTAACGTAATAAACAACTTACGACTAAGGCTCACGAGTGAACAGCGTAAACATGGAACACGAATTCAGACCAATTCGTTACGTGCCCAAAAAACCAACACAACTTACAAGTATTCGTGACGAGTTTTTACTGGTGGTAGGACCTCTTGTGAGTCCGCACGGGTAGGTACCACCACCCTGCCGCCTATTTCTGCTGTGAAGCAGTAATGCGTTTCGGTTTGAAGGGTGGGGCAGCCGTTGTAACTATACTTGAGAGCTTAGAACTTATATCTCAAGGTGGGTGGCGCATTTACGTTGTAGATGTCTATGGGCTCCAGTAACCACTTAACACCAGGTGTGCTTTGAGCTCGTCCACCCATCTAAGC